GGGTTGGTCCCGCAGCGCCGCTCCTCGGCGCTACTGGACCAACCCAGCAGCACCCCAGCTGCTCTGCCCCAGGCGTCCTGATTCAGCCGCTGCTTGTATTTAGATTAGCGTCAGATTTTCTGAATGAAAATATTTTGTTAGAAATTTCTTCAATCATTTTTCATGTTTTCTGTACTTCTGAGCCAGAGTATAGCATTCTCCGAATTAAGCCAACCAGCAGTAGAGTATTACCAGTACATAGGCAATACTTCGGGTCATGATATATCATTGACGAAGTAGCTACCCTCAAATCTCTGCCATTCCTGGGAATATGATCCAAAAAACAAAACTTGGAGGGAATGGTAATAATCAAAAGAGTGATGTTCACCAGTTCAGAGGAAGAGACAAACATACTCAGAATCACAGAATATTAGGACTGGAAGAGACCTTGACAGGTCATCGAGTCCACTCCCCTGCCCTCAAGGCAGGACCCAGTACTGTCTAGACCAGTGGTTCTTAACCTGGGGTGCACACACACCCTTTCCAAGCCTTGTTTCTACCTCTCTCTCTAGCATGTTGGGAGGAGGATTAATCAATGTCTGTACAGGGCTCTGGAGAGGAGAAACCCTGTCTAATAGGGATGTGTGTCCTGAATAACAAACTCCCCAGTGGCCTGAATCTTGGCATACCTGAGGACCTGAATGTTCCTAAATATCAGTAAATGTTATTGTATCCTCAACCCTGCAGAATGGTCCTTTTTCTTGAAGAAAATAAACACCTCAGCTATTATTTTTCCTCCTCTTTAGAGGGATTTTTCTTTTCATAGATTAGTTCCTAATAAACTATCTTTAATAAAAATCAATACGTTACTGGACTAATTTTCTACCACTGATGTTGCATATGTGTTGCTGTTGAACTGGAGAAGAGGGTACTGCAGATGACAATTCTGGTACACACGTAATATTCCATGGAGCCCAGCTCCAGCCAGAGCCAACAGCTTCTTCTAAAAACACAAATAATTAACAACAGATGACACTGGTCTGTACTAACCTATGCAAATCTTCCTCTTCAGCTTCTGTAAAGTTAACCGTGTACTTCACTGTCCGAGCCATCAAAATTCTGATGTCGAAAGTGTCCTGAGGGGAAAAAAGTCACAAATGTTGTCATTTTGTCTTGCCATCTTGTAAGCCTCATCAATTAGGTATCTGAAGATTTTTCTTTATTTTAACGACTCTAACAGCTTTTGAAAACACTCTACTACAGTTTGCATGACTATTATCTGCAATTAATGCATTTGGTTTATGTTACAAACTTCTTTAAGGATCTTGCTAAATCACACAAAAATACTTTTCATTTTGTTTTCATCAACAAACACAAATAATTCATATGGCTTCCTGCACAACACAATGCTTACCCAGTTAGAGGGTTCTTGAGATATACTGAAGAGTTAATTACAACTACATGTCAATCAAAATTAATTATGTAGAATGTCCATATAGCAATCCGGTGAGGAGTAGGCAGTACACCTCTAACTGAAAACATCTTTTTTAATCTTTTTACACATCCACTAATTCATACCCTCCATGGATCACAAGCTCCCAGTTGATGTAAAAATCTTATCATAAACTCTGCTTGTGATGTTACACTGAACATAAAACCTGAGTCCCAATAGAGTCTGTGTATGAGGAAAAGGCACATCCTGGGGGGGAGGAGGGGGGCGGGTGTGTGTGTGTGTGTGTCTGAATTTTTAACAACTGTGTGTGGTTTTTAATAATACACTCTTTTATCAATCTTAATGGAAGGGCACAAATTAAGAAAACAAAGGCTTATAAACCAAGTGCTCATCTTGACATATACATGTGTATTTTATAGAGGCTTTGCTTTAGCTCTATAAAAATTAGCTTCATTCTCTAGTGGACTTTCAGAAAATGTGACATAACCAACACTGTGTGAATGTTGGAGAATTAGGTTGAATAGCTGCAGAAAACTCACAAAGGGCTGGTGGCAAATTTTAAAAAGCTTAAAATTTAACAATTTTAAATTTTAAGAACATGGAAAATGAATGTTCTTACTTTTTGCCATTTTTCAGTCAAATGGAGTCATGTCTGAGGGTACAGAGAGAGAGAATAGAATTGAAGTAGGGATGTTAAATTTAGAGTAGTTGATAAGGGGAACACTTGCTATTCCGCTGTGCCTCTGCCTTTGAAATGTACAAAAGCCGCCTGCGGCTGTTGTACATTTCAAAGGCAGAGGCGCAGAGGGGAATGTGCTTGAGGTTCAATCTGTACTATGCAAATTCCAAGCTGAAAGCTGCAATGCCTAATTTAGGGATTGTCACCGAATGAGGCTGAGTGGAAAGACAGCCACTTACACGCAGTGGACAAAGAAGGAACTGTTCAGACCTTTGAAACCATGGAATTTACAGATTAAATGGTTTTGGAAAGGCACCAATATCTTGAAAACCCAGGAAAACAAAAAATGAACGATAAGTAGTCAAGAACCAGCCACTAGAGAGTTGATAAAGCTAAAGAGCTTTGAATCAGTTTTCTTTTAATCTGTAATAAAACCCACATAGATTTGTTTCAAAATTCATCAGCAGTTTGTAAAGTAGGACAGTTGTGGTGATGGCTGAGAACAATCAAACTGAAAGGAAGAGGACCAACCTAAGCTCCCTCAGTAAGAGGGTACACCAGGGGCAAACAGCTAATGTTGAGTTTATGCCTGCCACTGGGGAAGCTATGGGTCTCTAGACTAGGCCACCTGAATTTAATGTACTGCTATTTATGTTACAGTTTTCAAAACACAGTATCCCACCCGATAACATAAAAGGGTGGTATGGGCATCACTAGTAACTCCTGAGAAACAGAGAGGCAGCTTATTTTAAGGAGAGCTCAAAAATATTCATTTCCAAAGCCAAAACCAAGTGCATGACCCACATGCGCTTTTGCAGAATGTCACCTGGAGTTCTTTAGATTGAAGCTTTACTTTGAAAAGTTGTCCTCAGGAGTTCACCCAAACGTAACAACATATGCACGCTAACATCTCTTCTGGCTAAGCCAATGTCAATATCTCATTTACTAGTAGGGGGCAAAAGTACTTCTAAGGGAGCCATGTTTTAAGGAAGAAAGAGCATGAGGGGGAGGGGAACAGAGGCAGGTAAGCCACTGAGATAGCTGGGTTTTTCCTGAGAATGGCCTGGAAACTAGCGGATCAGCAAGCTGAATTGCCCTGCAGTCCCTTAAAGAGAAACTGTAACTGTAAAGTCATTACACTTTCTGTGGGAGAGTTTTCCTTTTTTTCCCCCCTCCAAGAGAGTGGCATGTAATACGTCACCTCTGAACAATCTCTCTATTGGCTTTCATGCCAATAAATGTAGATTAGCAAGAAGGAGACAGGATGCCAGCAACAGGGGCCTACAACTGTGGACTTCTGTATTCGTGTCAAAAGAGGGAGCCAGGACTAGCACATACAGTAATTAACCATTGATTAGGATGCTCCCAGTTCTAGCACAGCTGGTCACTGGAAGCCAAAGCTCTGTATACCAACCAAATGGCCCTGTATAGCTATAGCTAGAGCTTTCCTAGATGGAGTATGCAAAGCTTTATGGGGGGGGGGGGAGAGATAGAAAAGAGAGAGAGAAATACTTACTACGATAGGTTGTCGGAAGTACTCATCCACTGCTGCACTGCGAAGACTGGACAGATTGACCCCATAAAAACACTGCTGGTACCTAGAGACAGTAATGTGCAGTAACATTTAGTGGAAAAAGTCTCTCAAGGCTCTGACTCCCAGAGGACCCAGACACAATTATATCTCTGAACAAAATATGAAGTGTGGCTGGACACTTAATTCCTTCCTAGAATGTGTGGAGAGCTGAAATTACCTCCATACCAATCCCACTCTTCACCCTCCCATAACCCATATGCACATTGGGGGTTATTTCCTGGCATCCATGAAATCCAGTGCTGATTAGACTATCTATGAACTCTTTCTGGATGAGGGATTTGATACCCTTAGCAGAACTGATGAGAGACCTCTCTGCATCAGGAATGAGCTCCTGTACTTCACCTCTTAAGGGTACAGCAGGAAAGAGGAGCTAAGGTGACTTTTAGGTAGTTTTGGGCCCTCCCAATCCTGGGCTGTTCTAGGAACTGGAGAGGCTAATGGAACAACTGAAAACTGTCATGAGGGTCTACTGTAAGTTATGGCAGCCTAAGGAGGCTGCATGTTGGCTGCAGTGCTGCCCCAAAAATCTCCAGCACTTCAGAGTGCGGCCTCTCTCTGACATGCCCCTCTGACCCTCTCCATGCCTCCTAGGCTTACGGCTATCTCCACAGTGACTATACTGAGTGAAATGTCCCCTAGATGGATCAAAGGCTGTTAGGGCCCCTGCACGTGGCTCTGGCCCTTTTATCAGGCATAAAGGGAGTAACAGGTGTAAGGCTCTCATCCTAAGCGAATAAGATTTTTTAAAAATAGAGACATGTTACATGGCTGATCAAACTGTGCCAAGCTCTCACTCATAGCAAGCAAAAATACCTCCTCCCACAACTACCCAGAGTCTAAGGTCTGACCCTCTTATCAATCCAATGGAGAGCTGAAAAAGGTTAGAGACACTCATTACAGCCTAGGAAGATTCAGCAATTCTCTGACAACATAACTAAAAAGTTGTCTGCAACCTAAGCAAATTTCTAATGATGAAATCACCATCCAGGTGCAAAATCATGGCCTCAAGTCAACTGCAGTCTTTGAAAATACCTTAAGAGAATGTCTAAAACATCCAATTCTTGTTTTAATTTTAAAGGTACCATACCAATATTTTAAATATTGTGTGGATTTTTTAAAAATGCAAAATGTTTATGTTTAAACAGGTCAGCTCCTTTAAGATTAGTTTTTCTGTAAAATGTTAACTTAAATAATTATTTAATTTGCAACAGCGTGAACTGTGTCCTACGTAAAGGGAGAAGTCATCATGACCATTTCCAAGTGAAAGATGCTTAAATGGAGGACTGTACTTCTCTTTTAATGATAAGTGTAACAGAAGAGATCATCTAATGCCACCTGTCACAGGAGATCTTCTATCCCCTTTTCATGCATAACTAAAGAAACTCTTATCTATTGTGGCAGAAAGATCAGTTAATCATTTGAAACCTCCATTATTACGGAGGGAACATAAGAATTTCTGCGTATCTCAGGGGTTGGCATTAAATATTGGACACCACTCCCTTAATGATATGTCTGTGAAGTACTATTTAACAGAATGTCCATTCAATTACATGAATTATCCAGACACCCTAGAGAAGAAAGTCAGTCTCTCATTTAAGCTGGGGGCAGTCATAAAGTAGCCAAAGGCAAAGAACAGACTGTTTTAACCACCTGCCGTATGCTTTGTACCTATCTTCAGAATGCTTTTTACAACAGAAAGTGTAAGTTATATTACAATCACCCTTTCCAGAACGTGCCATCCTTGACTCTGACACAACACAAGTTAATTTGCATCAGGGTAAACTAATCTTTAAGTATGAAAAACAAATCCTGCTGCTGGCTCATAGCCACTTTTGATTTTGGATAGTAACCATACTGTGTTTGCATTAACTATTTCTTCCTCTCTCTCCGCCATTAATAAACTATGCAAACTCCTAGTAACTACTGATAGGGCAGTGGTAGAAATGTAGCCGTGTTAGTCTGGTGCAGCTGTTTCTACTGATAGGGCAGGCACCCAAGTTTCTATAATCAGGTTTTCTGGACCATTTCACAGATCTGAGGTTTTCATGAGTGCCCACTCAAACTGCAGTTCCAACCATTTCTTTTACCCTTTTGTTGCTTATAGCAAATGGGAGAAAAAATGTGTAAGATCTGCAGCAAAACCTTCCTCGGATGCTATTAGTGATATAGGAAGGGCTGTTAAACATACAACGGGCAGATTTTCTGAAAAACCAACTAAGGAACTGAGTGAAAAGGGAATTCTGAGGCATGGAATTTTCTGCTTATGCAGGAGCTGGCTAGCACTAAACAGCACATCATCCTTGGACACCCATATACAGTGGAAGACTCCTGCATGATGTAGGATTATTTAGGGTATAACCCTTATGCTGCAGGGCTGGGAAAAAAACCCATGTTGCAGGTGCATTGGATTATCCATGTAAGCTCATGCAAAGTATGTAAAAGTTTATCCAGTGCTTTTAGACCATCATTTACATGGCAAATTTATACAGTGTTTCTTTACCAAAAATAAGAAAAGTGGTAGTGAAATGAGCTGTTGAAACACCAGATAAAGAGGCAGAGACAGTTAGTTTAAGTTTGTACAGCTTCCAGCACAATGAGGTCTAATCCGAACCGGGGTACTACTTCAATACATATAATAAACAAAACAAACAAACAATGATCATGATGGAGAAGTGAATTAAATTCCAAGATCAAGTTAACTCTGAACAATTAGGGTCTTCCACTTCTCTCTCTCTCTCTCTCTTTCTCTCAGCAACCTTGTAGAGACTGGTTCTTGCGTGTTCGCCTGAATAATTGTATCAATGTGCAATTCTGAGACACAATGTATGTATTAGCTCTAGATGTCATTTTGCAGGTACTCTTTGCTTGGATATTTATGTTAAGAAACAATCTGTAGATGTCACTAGAACATCAGCAGTTAAGAGCTTATGGCATTTATTAATGTCAGGGACAAGTAGATTTTTCTGCTATTAGTACAGATACAATATACATACTGAATATGCAAAGACAGATTAAGACAAAATATTTATGTGTACATCATACCATTTGTATTCCCCACCTGTAAACTGTCAAACTGAAGTTTTAAATTCCCTAACAATGGAGATGGAATATCATAAGCAACCTTACAGTTAAATGCTTGGATACTGCCAGTAACAGCTAGTTCTGTAAGGCCCTGTGAAAAAACTGATGTGTTTCTGCTTCAGACTGCTAATTCGACATCAATTTCCCTCACTGAGCAATAACAATCCTTATTAACCAAACCCTGAGTTTCTACTATGGGTTCCCGAGGAAGCTGGCAGATGGGGGAAAAAACAAAATATAGGCCCTATTCCATCCAACTTGTAGTTTGTCATATTTTTTGCACTCTTGAGAACAACCAAGAGCAGAAGCTAAAGATTAAGTGGGGAGAAACTGAAATTATAGATAGGGTTTGAAAACATTTTAAAAACATTTTGCAAGCTTGAGTGATAAAGGTAATAGTGTTGATGTAATATACTTTGACTTCTGTAGAACATTTGACTTGGTACCACATGAATTTTTTGAATAAAAAGCTAGAATGACAGAAAATTAACATGGCATACATTACATGGACTAAAAACTGGTTAATCGATAGGTCTCAAAACGTAACTGTAAATGGGGAATTTTTCATCAGCAGATATGTTTTTAGTGGGGTTGCACAAGGATCAATACCAATGACTTAAAATCATCACTGATGATCGCAGATGACACAAAAATTGCGGGAGTGATAAATACTGAAGAAAGAGGACAGGTCACTGTTGCAGAGCAATCTAGGACCCAGGCAAACAATACGCATTTTAATACAGCTAAATAGGAATGTATACATCCAGGAACAAAAAATTCAAAAAGATTTGGGGGAGAGGGTCTGAAATCCGTCTAGCAGTAGGAATGCTCTCACACAGGTAGAGTTGAGTCCCAGTCCAATGAATTATCCTTTATTCTGGAACCAATGTGGACTTTTTTGTCATTGACTAGTAGGCCTAGGGAACAGCATGTGGCTTGTAGAACTGCGACGTCTCATTGGTCCTGAACGTTGGAGTTGCCCTTCACGAACCAGCCAACAAGGTTTGGGTAGATTTGGATGCCCAAGTGTGTAACGTAAGCAGCCACCACAGCCATGCACTTGGTAAACACCCTTGGTGCATTTGTGGTGCCATAGCCAAGCTATAACAGGAGGATCACAAACTGGTAGTAGACAGTACCCACTGTTAAGCGGGGGAAGCTCCTGTGACCCAGGAAGATCACTATGAAAAAGTAGGTGTCAGGGGGGCATACCAGTCTCTTGGATCTAGGGAAGGAATAATAGAGGCTGGGGAGGCCACGCAAAATGTCAGGCTTTTTATCTGTTAAGGCCTTGCAGGTCAAGGATGGAACAGAGACCACCCTTCACCTCGGATTTAAAAATATCGGGAACAGAACCCTCTGTTCCTGAACGTGAGAAGAACCTCCTCTACCACACCCAACTACAGCAGCTCCTGAACCTCCTGCACAAGGGCACTCTTGTGAGAAGGGTCTCTGAAGACGGATGGGAGTAGATGGGTGGAAAGAAACTGCAATACCATGTTCAGGACCCAACAGGTCCTGTGTCTGAGGTTATGGCTGTCCACATAGGGAGGAAAAAGGAAAGGCAGTTGGAAAAAATGGAGTACATGGAACCAGGAAACAGTCTGGTAGGTCACCCTAAGGCGCACTCCCAACATGATTTTTTGGCTCCCTGCTTATTTTGGGGCAAGCCTGATGGGGCAGAGGCCGAAGGTGGGTAGTTTGGGCAGTGCTTGTAGCATCTACTTTTCTTGTGAGGCAGCTTTTGCCGGGGCTGGCACCCTTGACCCTGAAGTTATGCATCCTCAACCACTTATGGGCTGAGCTGGACCAGGCCAGGAACATACATACAGCCCTAGGTAGGGCTGTCCCTAGCATGGTGTGGGGCCCTGGACAACCACCCCATATCACCCTAGGCTGGGTCCCAGCTGTACTGCTCTGCTTCCCACAGCCAGTGAGTGCAGGGGCGGTTACACATCTTCCCTTAAGTCCACTCCCCTGAGTGACAAGGCTGGGAGTCCAGGGAGCAGAGCAGACTGGGATCAGGTTGTGAGATCTGATAGGTTTACACAGCATAGCTGTGGATCAAGTTAAAGTAAATGAACATGGAAAATCAAGATTTTCTCCCATATGCTTTGCTCCTCTTCATTCAGATTCCAAGAATGAGTTTCATTTTAAAACCTTTCCTGAGTTGCGAAGCAAAAATTGTTTTAAAAAAAGTAACAATCATTACCAAAAATTGGCTCTGGAGTAGTGTTCCATGTAGAGCTGCTCATCAGAAAAAGGAGCCAAATGAATGTCACTAAATGTTGGAAACATCATTCCTAGTAAACAAAAGATAATATACAGTAGCACAATACAAACATCCATTTAGCCCTATGGAAACATGTACAGAAAATACAAACAAGCAATAATTGCTTTGCATCTCAAACAGATTAACATCTAATCCCATTATAGGTAATATGTAGTTTACTGAAATGCAGTTATAGGTTAAAGCAATCAATAACGAAAATATCCACTTACGAAGTGGGTCAGGATATTTTGAAAGCCTGTCACGAATGATAAAGCCTTACAAGTTTATGTCTCCATATTAAGCATTTAAATCATTTTATCTTTCTTTGAATTAAGTAAAATGTAAGATGTTACTCTAAAAAACTTTTCGCCATTTCCACAATTGGCGAAACATGCATATTTATAGCTGATTTTATCATAGAAAACATGTCAACAGATTCAACCATAAATCAAACTTCAGAGAACCAACTAGCTAATCCTCAAGGGGTCTAGCATTAGCAGCTTGACATAATAATTACATAGGACTTTGACTCAAGATTTCTCAAAAATGTTTTACAAAACAGTAAGAAAATAAAACTCAAACATGGAAAGAGAAGTATTGTATCAATTTTACAGATGGTGAAATGGAGGCATATAGAGGTTTACATACCTCACACAATAAGGTATTGGCAGATCTGGGGAAAGAATCCAGATGTCCTTACTTCCAGATCTATATTAATTAGGGACTGAATTCAATGGCCACTTAAAGTCAATGGGAATTCTTCTACTGATTTCAGTGGGCAGTGGATTAGGCTGCTTGATAAGACTTAAATATAATAAATTTATTATTCATTATTAATTATTATTATTAATATTATTATGTACACTCTTGTTTGTGAATCATTGGGGAGCAGTCATTTTTGGACTGAAACATGTTTCTTCAAACATCTGTTTTAACCAATGTAAAATGTGCTGCATGGATAAAAGAACAACCCGCTTTCTAACACCATGTAGCAAGAGACCACAGGAATTTCGAAAAGAATCACACACCCACTCAGTTAAAAAATGTGCCTTTTAAGACCTGCTGCTTGGAGAATACTAATACTTGTGCAGAGACGAACCAGGATGGGGACTAAAGATTTTTAAAATTGTGTGTAAGACCATGCTGCTTCAGCTTCTGCACACTTGCCACTTATATAGCATTTTTCATCAATATGTTCTATAAAAATAATTAATTCTGGAGAGACAAGGTGGGTGAGGTAATACCTTTTATTGGACCAATTTCTGTTGGTAAAACAGACTAGCTTTTGAGTTGCACAGAGCTCTTCAAATCTGAGATCAATTCAGTTGAAAACTTGTCTTTTTTACTCATAAAAGAATTATCTCACCCATTTTGTCTCACTAATACCATGGGACCCACACAGCCACAACAACACGGCAAATAATAATTAATTCTAACATGTGAGGTAAAAATAAATAAGTTT